GGGGGGGGGGGGGGGGGGGGCTCCCATTGCAATGGGAAACAGTTAACAGTGTTTTTTATTTCCCAGGTACTCTACAAAACTGCTTGGAGTGAGAGTATGGGAAGGGACTGCACTGCTTACTGTGCTAAGAAGTACGTATGAAAAGAGGAGGATTTGGTGCAACCCAGATTTCCAGTTACTGTCTTGAGAAAAGAAACAACTTTGATTTAACCAGAGGAACATTTGGGCTTGCAGTCACTTTTGAAACACATGGTTGTATTACAGTGCAGTTGTGTTCTGAACAGCACCTTATTTCAGCAGCCTTAGCTACTGTCTTTAGTACCGGAAGGAAAGGTTGACTGCGTTGGGCCCAATAGCCCTGCGAAGGCAAAAACTGGTCAGACAGAGTGAGCTGAATTTTGTTTCTTCTTGGGCATCAGCAATTTGTTTATTAGGTTCTAATCATGACACCTTTGTCAGCAATAGCTAATGGGATTTTAGAAATGGTTTAATTTGGCGAGGAGGATGTTTTGCTGGTGAAGATGCACAGGAATAAAATGACCCTGGTTCAGCTTTCTGGAAGAACTGTTTTACTCCTTAGAATTTCATACCTTTAAAACAACAAACATAGAAGCCCACAGAGCCATTTTCACACAGAGCAGAATAATGTGTTGAGTCTGCTTTGAAATTAGCTGCCCAATGACAAATATACAAGAAAGTGATAAATTTGGAGAGGAGTGTTTTCAGTAGCTGAGGGCCTGTTCCTATAACATGCGTGTGCCCAGGTAATTAATTCTCTCATGTAAGTAAGGATGCAATAAAGCTGGATGAAGATTTTTAGCTAAAACTTTTCACTGAGGCTGTTCTGCAAAAACTTCTTGTGCAATAGAGCATCCACACTGCAAAAGCACATCAGAAAAGCGATGCAATTTTGTCCAAGAGAGCATCCAGACTGCATGGGCGCTCTCTCAAAAGAAAGCGCCGATTGCTATTCATAGAATGGCCACCAGGGCACCTGTGCTTTTTCCTCTTTCTCTTTTGTGCAAAAAAACCTATTGCCTGTCCACACACACCTTTTTGCGCAAGAGCTCTTGTGCAAAAAGGAGTTATTCCTCACAGAAAGAGGTATACCCATACTGCAAAAAGCCCTCTGTTCTGTCAATTCACTGTAAATTTTCTTGTGCAAAAATGCGCTTAAGGTGTGGATGCTCCACGGGTTTTTGCGCAAAAACCCTGTAGTGTAGACATAGCCAGAGAAATGTAGATTCAGATTAATTACAAGGTTGAGAAATTGTGTCTGATGCACCAAATGATTCTGGTTAAAAATCCCCCCAAAATACAAATATGCCATTTTGAAACGACTTTTTCAAGTCATTTTTAAAGTATTCTTTTAAAACTAACCAAAATTGTTTGGAATTGAAATTTATATTTTAACCTGAAGTAAGTTTTTTTCCACTATTCAGTTTGCCAAAAATGTTTGTTCTGCCCAGAATGGGTGTTCCCTCCCCTTCTCCCCCCGAATGGCTAGGGCTTTGGCACAGCTCCAGTGTGAGTTAAGACTTCGGGATCAGGTCCCATGATTTGTTTTCAGCTGCTCTAACTCACAGGATGTTCCTGGGCATGTAAAAGAGGCTGTAGTCCTCTCTTGAGTATGACAGCTGGTGTCTGATTTCAGTGTGTCTTGCAACTTGCTACCGACTTTGTGCTGATTCATTATTTAACTTGTTTGTTTCAGGTATGCTGATCATTTGCACAAGTTCCATGAGAATGGAGACAATGGTGACATGTGGCAGTGAAGGCTGAATTTGAGGCTTTTCACCACCCCAAGGGGAATGTTAATTGGTCACACGTGTTCCACTTTCCTTGTCCCTGCCGTGACCATTGTGCACAGGGCTGTGCCCAGCAGCTTGACTTGAACCTTTTAAAAATTACCTTTGTGCTTTGTAAGGTTGAGAAGCGGTGTTCCCTTCCCCCCATTCCGACACTTGTAGGTTAGAAGCTTCAATAATGAATCGTAATTTTGCAAAATGTAAGTACAAGGAAGCAGGTTCCAGCTGGACTCTAGGACTTCCGTGTGTTCCCTTGGGTGATGGTGTCTGAAGCTTTAAGAATCATTAGAGTAAATACTGTAGTTGGGAAGAATCCACCCTCCTTTCATTTAGATTTGCTTTATAAAACTGTAGGAGGAAGAGATCTGTTCCATTGAAAGCCAACATCTTCATATAGGTTTCGAGGGCTGGGGAAGAGATTGGAATCCTGACCATCACCTCATAACGTCTGTGAAGTCCAACCCATGAGCCTGGCTACCCATGAAATGGGGAAAACTGACCACTTGTAGTGGACTTTACAGTAATTTAAACAGCCTCATATTAAAGAAATGCGTTCATTCTCCAGCAAATTCTTAAGTGATCAAAGACTCCAAATTTTACTAGACGTGGAAATGGCTGGATGTAAGACCCTGCAATAAATTGGCTTTCCTTTGGTGAGGTCAGTCATCCAGAGACAGGAAGTTACTGTTGCGGTTGCTGTCCTGCTGTATTTCTTATTGAATTAAGATCTCGTTCAGCTCTGTATTTAATCTCATGCGCATTTCTTGTGGCCTTTGAGCTCGCTGTCAAGTAAAAGCAGACAGGTTTTTTGTAGGCATTGTTGAACTGGAGACTGACTTACCCGTGAAATGGGACTTGATAGTTGGGATTGGAATTGGCTGAGGGAAGTGGTGCTAATGAGCCAGGAGCTCATTGGAAAGGTAGTGGGCACTCCTCGGAAAATCAAAATGCTTCTGCTGCACATTAGTTGCTTTGCTGCAAAGGATGTATTAGCACAATACAAGATGTCTGATGGACAAAGCTGCTTGCATTGCAGCCTAGCTGGTTACTGTCTGACCCTTCTTGGCTGCTCTTCTGCTTGAATAAGTTAATTGTTGACAGTGGGTTATTTTAGAGATATAAAATATATGAAAAGCTGATTTATATAGAGCTTGTAAGTTTCCTGCAAGGTTCTGCACACCTTCTGCTTCCATTGACCACAATTATCATTGAAAGTGCTCGGTACCATGCCAAATCAGGCCTTTACTCTATACATAATAGCATGGTCCATTCATGCTCAGTTAAAATCCCCATTCTAGGCCAGAAGAATGTTGCCTCGTGGTTAATGCTGCCTAGCAGATATCCACATGCATGTGTTAGTAAGTGTGGGTCTATAAATAGAATATGTAGTCAATGATAAAACTTCCCATATGCCATGAGCACTGAAGATCTATTTATAGTTGCTCAGCCTGTAGAAAACAGTAAAATATTAATTGCAAGGAAGATAATAGGCCGGGGCCAATCAGCACCTGTCTACACAGAGAGCTTCAAGAAGAGTGGGGGCTTGTTTAGAAAAGAGAGATGTCTGTAGTGGATGTGATTGCATTGTTACAAATCTCTCATTGAGGGAGAAGTGGGATGCGCACCAGTAAGTTACCAGTGTTAATCCTGTTTTTACGTTGCAGCGAATATACTGGGGATTCATGCTCATGCAACTATATTGAGAGGGCTACAGCATCATAAAAAGAGACAGGGCCTAAAGTACTGGTGTGCTTGTTAAAATGAACGGGACTCTCGCAACTCCACATGCTGGTTTTTTTCCTTGTGAAGCAGCAGGGCTGTCTGAACTGCAGCATTTTGTTTGCTGTCTCCCAGTTTCCTCTCTTCGAATAACTCAGTGAAAAGTGTTTCTTCTCAGAGATCGGGATCAAAACACAGCCCATTTTCCATAGATTTGTATCCAGCTTAGTCCTGTGCTGCTGCTTCAAAGCAATGTTTAGCCACATTTTTAAGAGGAAGGCAACCTTATCTGGAAGGACTTCGGATTTCTAGAGATGATGCACGCTCTCTCTCAGGGCCTGAGTAGGTGTGGTGCGGAGCCCCTTCCAGATCTCATTGATTTCCGAGGCAGCGTACGGGGCCCAGCACTTATCCAAGTGGACCTGTAAAGCAGACAAGGGTTTTCTAGGGCCAGAGAAAGTTCGGGGTGCTTTTCATATCCAAAAAAGGTAATGATCTTTATTTACAGAATGAATAGGTGTTTTGCTGTACTTGCTAAAAAGAGCAATCTTTGTAGGACTAGGATATTTGCTATGTTAGGCTAGTTTCTTTTAGGTTTCATGGGGAAAGTCAAACTTACTTTATTCAGAAGCTATACTGAGTGGATTAGAATTGCAAAACATGCTTAAAATTTGGCACATTTAATTTTCCGTAAATGGTTGAAAATAGATATTGTTGAGCTATGCAAGTCATGATCAAATAAACGTAGATATGCATCAAGACCGATTTATCTTTGTGGTTCTGTTTTTTTAAAACCCAAGACGCATCCCCTGTTCAGTTTCCAGCTCTAGGAGACCAGCCTTTGCAGCTAGTTTTAGAAATCCATCTGACACCTAAAGAAACCATTTGAGGTCTTACACAGTCAGAAGGAGCAGCACCACCGGCCTTGATCCCTGCTGTGTGAAGACCAGGGCCAGCTGCAGTTGAGATGAAACATTCTTGTCTGGATATAGACAGGAGGGAGAAAATACACTATGATGGACAGGAGGTAGGGTCATTGCTGAATATCCTCACATGAATAGGCTCTGCCTCTCACAAGATTAGAGCCTAATAATAGAGATGTAGCCGTGTTAGTCTGGTCGGGCTGCCCTCAAACCAGCTAGGCATGCAGTCCAAGCGCTAACAATATGGCCGGTTTCAGATGGAATTGTTTGCGCTCAGTTCTCTTCCTAGTGTGCCCTGCAGGCTGTTTTGGTCACCTCCCCATACAAACACCTCCTTACAGCCAGTGGAGTTGAAAAGGGTGATGTTTGATGAGATGATTGTGCGATTAGAATTTGACTTCTGATCATCAGCTTTCAAAGCTGCTTTTTTTCCCTTCTGTGGTTTTGTCTGGACAGCAGAAAAATAAAACAATTCTCTCAGCATCTACAGCATCTCAAAGGAAACCGGAGGCAGATGGTCCCATGGCTGGCTTTCTTCATGCCCTCTCTACATGTGCCATGCCTTGTAAGCCAAACAACTGAGTTGGGAGCTGTAAACTGGTTCCTGCCCAGCAGCAGTTCACAGTTGCTGCTGAGACAAGTGACGGGTTCTACAGGGGGCAGTAATTCTATTTTGCTGGTGTAAACTCAGCCACTCCATTTTCATGTTGGAATTTACAGAATCCAAAATGTTTCTACTCTTTTTTTTTTCCCTACCCTTTTCTCTTCATCACCACCCCTCCATACGAAAAGCAACAAGCCCTTCTAAGCAACCAGGGAGAGGCACTTATTTGCCAACCACTGTTAACATCTCTTCCATCAGCCTTAAAACACACCTAACAGCTACAGCCCACTCCTGTCCCATTGTAGGTTGGGTGTTGTATTGTCCTGATTTTCCCCATCTGCTCCTCTTTCCCCTGCTCCCGTGATCATGCAAGGCCAAAGACAGGAAGCGTGTGCCCATGTTAGTAGCCTCTTGGGAAGGCTGTTTCTACAGAAGTCTCCCTATCCACCTGCTTGCCAGCATCTTGGTCGCTCTCTTCCAGGCAGACAGTAGAGAAGGGGTAATTGCAGCAGCTAGTGCTGAGAGGGAGGCTTACAAAGAATCAAAAAAAAGCTCTTCCTCCATTTGGTAATTTCCCATCACATTTACTCTAGTGGCTTAAACATGTAACATGGTTTCAAGGCTCCTGACCTTGCTTGGGGCCGTTTCAGTAGAACAGAGTGGAGAGCTGCCAGGAGGGAGCTGGAAGTAGCGCGTCTCCTTTCTGAGAGGCGTGCAACAAAGGGGATCTTGCAACAGACTCGATGTCTAACAAATCCGTGACGTCAATCAGCACTGCCAAACTAGCCAAACGTAGTTAATTCTCAAGGGCACCGGTAGCCTCAATCCAGCAGGACTCTGAGGCCCTGCCTGCAGGTTTATGCCAGAGCCCCAGGCAAGGTTTTGGTGAGTGACAGGTGCCCCTGGGTTTCACAGCTTCTCAATGGCTGGTGTCACAAGGAGAAATGCTGGGAGAGCCCCCCGTGGAAGGATGGTCAGAGAATTAATTATATGCAGCTCGTGAGGTCACTGCTTGAGGCCTTACTCCAATGGAAAGGAGACTAGAGTTGATTTACTTGCTTAGCAAGATGGATGCCATTGCATAACAGCAGAGACCCAAACTATCTGTATAGTTGTCTCACCAAATTATATTTCACGTGGCAGGAGTGGCCAGGCAGGGAGAGCTTGGTTCTGCCTCCAGAGATCCCCCCTTCGTGTCTGCCAGCCTCCCAGTCCATCGGAGGGCTGAGGAAAGCTCGGTGGATTCCTCCAAGGATTCAGCAAGCCTGTGGCACTCTGAATGGACCTGTCCTATATCTTAGCAGCTCCAAGGTTGGGACTGCGTCAACAAAGTAGCAGGGAACAGCTAGATCTGTGACTGTCTTAATACTCATTATTTGTACTGTTGCAGCACCTAGGCGCTATGGGGCAGAACCCAATGGGGCACACTAGCAGAGCAGCGAAACACTCTCTGCCCCGAACACAAACCCTCCCATCAAACCCATGATGCATGCAAACTCGTCGGCTGCTCACCAAAAGTCCATTTTGGTTCAGCCAAGGTTCTACCGGGCTTCTAAGCCTAACATGAGCGTGGACCCCGGGGCAGGACTACATTTCCCTCCACACTGCATACAGCCAGGTAAAGATGTGAAGGACTAGGGAGGTTTCGTGCAGAGGCTGACTGTCTTTTTCTCCAGCAAAGGACAGCCACAAGGAAACTGGGAAATCCCAGCTCAATGTACCTATTCTGTTGGTTTCTGGGTCTTACGCTGCAGGCTTCACCCCTTAGGACACACGTTTGCAATGCAAGAGAGAGTTGGAGGGGAAATCACAAGGTTTGGGCTCACTGCCAGGTAATAATACCTAGCTCTTACCTAGCCCCTTTCATCCATGGATCTTAGCACTTTTTACAAAGGTACTCCGAATCATGATCCCCATTTAACTGAAGGGGAAGCTGACCCACAAAGGCAAAGGGATTAGGCCATGGGCATCCAGCAGGCCAGTGACAGAGCAAGGAATAAAGCCCGGGTCTCCTGAGACCCAGTTCAGCGTTCTATCCACTAGGCAACATTGTCAAAATAAAATAGTGAGCCTGGTTACCCCGAGCACAGTATGGCAGGTGAGCAAGCTGAGGGTGGGGGAAACGTGAGTCTTCGTCACTTTCCAGTCCTGTTCCATCAGCTGCTCTGCTATCATTGTTCTTGCCCTGAGTCAGATTTTCTGGGAACAATCAAGTGACCAGAGTTTCAGTTCTCATTTAGAGTAAAACTGAAGGGAGTCAAGTCCCAATCAGATTGCACTTGGCTTGTCCCAGCCTCCGGCCTGAGAGAGTCACGGCCCTGCAGTGACGTGCGGCACGGCCCTGCAGTGATGTTACCCACGGGCAGACGTGTGAGGCAACAAATGCATCACTCAGCAGCCGAGGCTTCTAGAAGCAGCTCACGTACTGGGCTGAGCGAGAGCACAGAAGTGGTGGCCGGAGTCCGGCCCTCATCTCCGTCCCAGCCGCAAGCACAGTCCACCTTGGCAGCTCAGATGCACACATCCCTCTCCGTCCTCCCTGCTGGAGACAGGCAGCCAGATCAGGCTTCTCTGGGCAGTATACCCTCCGTGTCTCCAGCTTTCACATCCTTTCTTCTTCGCTTTTACCCCCGACGGTTTGTTATCCTTAACCAATCACAGGACAGAGCCCAAAGCAGGATGGCGGGAAGGTCAACGCCCAGAAACCAGTGAGAGACCATTTCCCTACTCACACGCAAAGCGGGTGTGACTCTGCATGTGTCCAGCTTCAACTACAGGTTGTGAGTTTCCATTTGTCAGCCTCACTCACCAGGGGAGCTTGGACCACTTCAAACAGTTGGTGAAGCCTCGCAACAACCTGGTGAACTATTAGCCCCATTTTACAGCTAGAGAAACTAAGGCACAGGGGCATAAATGACTACCCCAAGACCACACAGTAAATCACCCTCATGAAAAACATGTGCAGTGTATGTATTTCTCTTGGGCTCTTCTTCAAGAGTTCTTACAGGAGCCCATAAAAATTACCTACCTACGTTACTACTCGCCACAAACACTCATATCTTTATAATCCACTTCTCTTCCCCCTTGCTCTCTTTGAAATCATACCCTATTACTAAACCCACAGCTTAAACTTCAGATGCTCATGATAACAATAAGCTACGAATAAAAAGAAAAATTGGGCTCCTCCTGTTGTTTGTGTTTGGATGAGCAAGCACTTCATTTCCCAATTATGGTGAAAGGAGAACTAAGAGGTAGTCCTGGTGCTGCAGGACTATTCGTTGTTTTTTCTATTACAGACCAACACGGCTACCCCTCCAAAAGTTACTCCTAACAGGTTTTTATCTCATGCCACTCAAAACCAAGATTTTAGGGGGGTTTTTTAATCCAGCTCCTCTAATCTATTCCTCTTCCCAGGCTGGATAGTTCTCTAGAGCATCTTCTGGAGCGTCACATATCATCATCACCTCTGATCCATCAACTGATCCATCAACTCTGGCACATGTAGGGTTGCCAGGTGTCCGGTTTTGACCCAGACAGTCTGTATTTGAGCTTTCTGTCCAGGAAACAAATTGAGAAAATACCGGACATATAAATGGACTTTAAAGACTAACAAGATAGTTTATTAGATGATGAGCTTTCCTGGGCCAGACCCACTTCCTCAGATCAAATAGTGGAAGAAAAGGGTTTCTGCAGCAATTTGCTCTTACTCAGCATTTTAAATGTAATTATGGCAAGCCATCTTAATCAGTATTGCCACGCTTTCAGGAAAATAAAGGAAAACCCCCACTTTTTATATCCATTAAACTTGTGTCTCTTTCCTCCAGCCACAAGGATCCAGGCAAGGGGATCTGAGCGTCTTGTTTCTGGATCTCAAAATTCTCCCAGGGTTGCCTGGATGGCTGCTAGGACAGTTCAGATCTGAGACCTAAGTCAGTTTCGGACTGACCTCTGGCAGAAGTCTCTAAAAATCACTGCCAGGAGATGGCAGAAAGGAGACTATGGGAGGATAGGATAGAGGTCTATAAAATCATGACTGGTGTGGAAAAAGTGAATAAGGAAAAGTTATTTACTTATTCCCACATTATAAGAACTAGGGGTCATCATATGAAATACACAGCAAGTTTAAAACAAGCAACAGGAAGTTTTTCTTCACTCAGTGCACAGTCAACCTGTAGAACTCCTTGCCAGAGGATGTGGTGAATACCAAGACTTTAACAGGGTTCAAAAAAGAGCTAG